CGTCTGTGGGCTGCCGGGGCAGGAGGCTGCTGGTTAGCGGGTCAGAGTTGCTGTGCGAGGCCTGGTGAGAGCTCTTCTTGCGCGTCTGGTTTGTTTTTCCTCTTGGAGCTGAGGGCGGTGAGCCCACGAGGGGGCACCAGCCACCGCTGGAAATCTCGGTCAGACTTGAGGCCCTTGGAAGGGAAAGCTGGCAGGGACCTGGCGAGGGGAGCACCCGGGGGGCCATGGGGGCCGGTTAGTACTTCAGTACGAGGGTGGCAAGACTTTGGAATAAATTGCCCAGAGATGCTGCAGCTGCCCCCTCCCTGGAGGTGTTCAAGGCCAAGTTGGACAAAGCCTTGAGTAGCCTGATCTAGTTGAGAGGCGTCCCTGCCCGTGACAGGGGGGTTGGACTAGATGACCTCTAAGGTCCCTTCCAGCCTAGGCCATTCTATGATATGATATCCTATGATATGACTCCATTCGTAACTTACCTACCTGTTGGGAACTGACCACTCTATGATTCCCCGCTGGGTTTGGGTTGTTTAAAGAAAAAAAAAAAAGTAAAATAGATACTGCTTTTTTTTAACTTTTGTGCATATGAGGATGGCTGCAAAGATGATCCAAGGGCCGGAGCACCTCGGCTCGGAGGAGAGGCTGAGAGGGTTGAGGTTGTTCGGCCTGGAGAAAAGGCGGCTCCGGGGAGACCTTAGAGCGGCCTGTCCGTGCTCAGGGGTACGGGAAAACGGGGAGGGACTGTTTACAAGGGTGTGTAGGGACAGAACGAGGGGCAATGTTTTAAACTAGAGCAGAGTAGATTTTCAGGAATAAGTTCTTTACTGTGAGGGTGGTGAGACCCTGGAACAGGCTGCCCAGAGAAGCCGTGGGTGCCCCCTGCCTGGGGGTGTTGGAGGCCAGGCTGGACTGGTCAGTGCGAGGTGTCCCTCCCCGTGGTGGGAACCTTGGAACTCTGTGATCTTTAAGGTCCCTTCTGAGTCAAGCCACTCTCTGGTTCTGAGATATAAAGAGTACTGTGTTTCTGCCAAAGAGAAACAGAGGTGTAGATCTGGAGTCTCTGCTCTAAAGGGAATTCTTCCCAGAACCAGTGTGCAGATGTACATGCTCTGCTTTACTGCACAGTATTCCAGTGGGATACTTGAAGTATTTGCTGTTTTCTGGAGTGTGCGTAGTTTTTTTATTTCATTAAGAACTCAGTGTACTTTGTTTATGTTGTTCTGAGCTGAAAACCAGTTGAAATGTGAAGCACCTGCTGGTTTCTCCGATAACAAAACGGCAATGACAAAATCAAACTTTATTTTATTACTTTTCTATATATTGGTGCGTTTTCCATGTGTATTTTACTGATACCTTGTGCTGTAACTAAAAATAGGTCCATTTTGGCAAGAATTGAAGGCATGCACCACTTAACGTTAGGTCAAATGAGTCTCTGTTAATATATGTTCCGAAGAAAGATATATTTTTAAAAATTTTAGTTGACGCCCCAGTAAAGCTTTTACTTTTCCTGCCCCTGTTACCTTGGCCTCTCTGCCGTAAAGAATATTTGGATATCTTACTTTTTTATTTTCTGAACTACCAGCAATACTGAATTTGGTCAATCATGTTTTTCTAGTACTCGTGTTATAGATCTTGCTTTTACCAGAATGCTGAAAACCGTGCCCTTAAGGAAAAAGGGATACCCTGTAAGGGTGGCAAAATGGGGACAAAACATCGTTATTGTTTGTTGAATGGTTTTTAACACAGAAAAGCTGTACTTGAAATTCCTTTGTCTCCTTGGCCTTCTGCCTTCCTGAGGGAGTTCTGGGATGAGGATGTGAAATTTATGTTCTTTTCTGAGTTTATTCTGCAGCTTACATTGAGGTGTATGTTTAGCTATTACTCTGATAGAAGTGCTTTTGCAAAGAAGGATTTTTAAAGCATCCTTTAATTCAGCTGTAGAGAACATTTTGGTCATTTAAGTTGGAACTCTGTAACTTCAGGGGTTTTAGGATATTTTTGTCTACACGTTTCTTGCATCTGTTGAGGGAAAATGTTAACTTTACAAAATAGGGGTGGAATTTGATATTGTGGACAGTATAGTGATCAGAAAAGCAAGACAGTCCTGCAGGAAAGTAATGCTGAATAAAAATAAATTAATTCCTGTTTATTTCACCATTTAATTCATCATTTATTTGTCAGATCCATACAATCTCTGCGTTGAAATCAATGGTAAATACTCTAGAGCTGTCCCTTTGGCTCACAGAGTGCGGATGGAGTTGCTGTTGCAAAACCCTTCTGAGATTTTCTGAGCATCCTCTTTTTGCGAAGTCATTAAAGGTGTTTGCAGAATTACAAATGTTGAATAATTTCAGTTTGTCCTGAGTTTAGCTAAAAAACCAGTCCTGTTAAGTGATTTTTACTTTCCAGTTTAGTCTCTTTGAAAAGGCTGCACCCCATGTTGTGACTTCATTGTAAATAAAGGAAAAAAGTCAGAAACCAACTTGCTGCAGTGCTGTGCTCGAGGATAGTTGGAATAAAGATTCCCTGAAGAGCAGTGGGAATTTGTATGATTTATCTGCAGTGGTGTGCACATACCATGAAAGCTTCCTCTTTACTACGTATTTTAGTGGTTTTTGTTTTTTTCTAAAGAAAAGGGTAATAATAGATGTTGCCCTAACGGGGCTACCATTTTCAAACAGAGAACATTGTTTCCTGAGGTCTGCCTTTCAAAATGTTCAAACAACCCGACTAAAAGTGGTTAATAATAATGTCTCATAAAAAGAGAACTCTTTGAACCGTTGTTATTTACTTGTTTCAGGTGATGCTGTGAGCACATGAATAGTGAGAGAGGACTCTTGGCTGCCTCTGTCATTTCAGTCCAGAACTCCTGCTTTTTCTATCCTGCTTGTCAGAAATGCTTTTCCAGGCTGGTGCTGGATTCTAGGAGGTACGTCCTGGTTTGGGGATCATTAACTGTAACTGTCAGGGGCCTTGGGAGTCTCCATTAGCAGAACACAGGTTAAAACTAATGGGTGAATATTTAGCCATCGTAGCAATAAGTGCTAATTTCAGATTTTTATGTTACTTACCACTTTTTAGTTCTTATTGTATTCCAGTAGGTGCTTGGATGTCATTACAGATCAAGAGTTCTGTTGCATTCAGAGCCATGCCGTAACAAAGGACAATTTAGGAGAATAAATTATGTATGTTAACAGCTTCCAAGTGCCTCCCCAACAGTCCAGTTCTTCAGTGCTGTTCCTAAATTGGAAAGCATTGGTTGAAAGCCTCTCCAACCATTTTTTTTTTAAATTTCTTCTCATTTTTTTTTGTGTGGTGCGACTGGAGTCCTGTATCACTCTTGCATTTACTGTATGTCCAGAAATGTATGAGCATTCCTTTTTAATCCCACTGATACATGAAATTTATGACACATAGAAGAACAGTAAATCAATGAATGTCATCACTAAATTGACGGAACTGACTATGCAAAGCAAGAATATCCATGGTTTCAGATGCTGAGTTAAAAGATAACTGTGTTGTTTAGTGATTTTTTTAATTCAGGAAGAAAAATTCCAAACTGGAACAAAACACGAAAAATGGAGGTGCAGGGAATTCAAATTTCCTCCCCAAGAGGTGATTCGAAGCGCGCTGACTCCAACTTCACAACAGGCTAGCGTTTAATGAATCAGTACAAGAAGTCAGAGGGATTCTGTCATGATACAGACCCCTTGCTGAGTCTGTGGCAAGATTAATGCCTCAAGGAGTAAAGAATAAGAAAGAATCTCATAATTTGTAATGGGATATTTGATATATTGTAGTTGTAATGCGTACGCCTGCAGATAAGTCCATACCTCAGCAGTGATTAACAGAAGTTCATGTATTCAATCTTTTTTTTTAATCCTTTTACTGTCTTGTCAGGTTTAACTGTCTAAAATGTGGCTGCACAGGTGATGTTGAAGATGCAAGCTACAGATACAGGTTGTCCCTGAAGATTGCTGACACTAATGATTTGTTTGACGTTACTGTGTTTGGAAGTTGCTTAGATCCATTCTTTGGGGTCACCGCAGAAAATCTGCAGAGGTGAGGAGTGGATTGTTTCTGACTGTGTAGCTGCTACTTTTTCTTTGGCTTGAAAAATTGCGGTGAGCGTAGATGCTGGGGAGACAAGTGGGAAGAACTGCTGAAGTGTTCTCTTCCAGCATTTCCTTGGTACCCATCACCTTGAGAAAATGCTGAAGTTTGGATTCTTCCTGAAATCTTGAAATTCTGAGGTGAATTACTTCTACATAAGAGATCCTCCACTTGTCTAGTGAAAGCAGCTACCACCTGCTAAGTGACCTTCACAGTTGGGTTGGTTTGGCTTCTTCCTTGCATCCTTCCTGCTTTCGGATGGTTGAACTTCCTTTGTCTAATGTCAGATTACTAAGCTGACTTTTCCAGAGATTTAGTCGTATTTTCTTCCTCAAGATTTCAGAAGAAGAATCTTAAGGTAAAGATAGAGCCTTTGGGTTTTGTTTTTAACGGTTTGGATTTAAAAAAAAAAAAAAAGTAGCATGCTTCTTATAACTAAATTTTCCTTTAGCAAGGAGGGATTTCTGGGAAAGCCTGTTAGTCCACACAGCCTGACCACCCACATTATAAGGTTGAGACTTTCTAATATGTGAAACTATTGGGATGGCATATTTGGATACATCCACTGCTTTCTCTGTTCTGTTATTTTCCAACACCTTCTGTTATCACTGGGTCGAAGATGAGCACTTTTAAAATCCTGTATTAGCAGCATTAATAACGTACTTATGGCAGGCATCCCACACTAGACTGCTGTGCTGCTGTCAGCTGTGAAAACCAGAGTGATTTCCGTGTGTTAGTATGGATGCCCCTGTTGCTGTAAAGGTGGGGGCACAAAGGATGCGTAAACAACAGCAGCGTATTGCCAGCGTTACGCAGTCGTGCTGGTACAACAATCAGGGTCGCACCCAAAAGTTGTGTGTATATTAAATCTGTTTGATGTCGTTGTTTTGTTTGCTTCTATTTCACTAACAAATGAAGTGAACTAAACAATCAAATTTATATTTTTGTGGGTTTCTGGTTTTGGTCTGTGCCGAGTTTAAGCTACCAGAGTATCTTTTCTTCAGCCCGTGTCCTACCTATACTGCAGCTAAAACACTGTGTAAGGCTTCCTCTGTTGATCCAGTACTTCTACGTGTTTTTACTCAAGGTATATTCAAGACCTAAATCAGCTGTCAGGAGAAACAAGTGCAGATACATCTCTGGGAGTGTTAGTTCAAGCAGTGGAAGCCTGTTTCATCGGAAAAAGATTTATATTTGGAGTGAAGGTAACTTTTAATCCACATTACTGTCTCCTAAGGATTTTTTTCATTAGCTTCTAGCCGGTTGGGGATGTAGACTGCATTACCAAAGCGTCATGTACGACATCTTTGGGGAACTGGAGAAAATTTAGGGCTAGGACATGGGAAGGATTCCACTCCTCTTCCTTCAGACTCCTGTGTAATCACAGCCGCATCCAAAAGTCATGTTGAATGGCAGTACTCAGCTTGACAGCCTGTCAGGGCTGCTTTTCAGAGAGCCTGAGCAGTGCCAGCTCCTGTGCTTGTCAGTAACAGCTTGGAGTCTAAAAATCCATGTACGGTTCAGGCAAGAAGCAGACTGTCTTTTCAAGTACTGCCCTGCCTTTCCGCTGACATACACTCTCCTGGTGTCTGAAATGCAGAGACAAGCACATCCCCTTGCTGCATTTTGATATTTCTGCATTTAAGAGCATGTTTAAAAATATTGATAAAGTACAGCTGTTGAACATATGCATCTGTGGCTCTTTTATGTGTTTAACAGACTTTGAAATATTAGTTCTTAGTCATATTTCCATAGAAACAGTCTTCTAAGTTCTCTTCCAGTGGTGCTTGTGTGCATCATTCATATTATGAAGTCTCTGAACTAAATCCTACCTGGCAGGTGTTTTTCTTCTCCCACGGGTACCGTGAGGTTTGTACCCGTGCTGATGGGCAGCATCTTAAGTAATGGAAGCTGGAGAACTTCATGGCTTAATTTCACTTAACTTTAACCATTTACCAGATCTCTGGGTCTAATGCCTGCACGTAGGATAAGTAATCCTACCCAGCAGCAGCCTCGTGGCTGCTCCTGCACACACAAGGACTGGAAACACGTTCAAAGACCGTTTGTTCAGTCTTTGGCTGTAGACATGTCTGAGTAGCTGTGTCCAGCTCTGCATACAGTTGAGCTCTCCCAGATAAAACTCGGCATCAACGTAACGTACTCTGTTGAAGACTTACCTAGAAGGGCATTGGCCTTGGCTAAAAGCCTTCAGCCTCAACCTTCGCCCACACTCAGGGAGTAGGAGGGTTGTTGAGTCTGAAGACAGCTATATTTGCTTTTTTGGCCTCTCTGGCATTGCCAGACGTTGAGGAGGAGGTGAAAAAGGGTTTATCCACTTCTCAAAATCATATCAAATGCCCTCTGCTTTTAATGTCATTTTTCACCTGTAATTTCTATGTAGAGAGAAGCAGATTCTGTAGAGAACTGCAGCTGAAGCTCCTTTGAAACGCTGCTCTCCAGACAAACCCAAGAAGGTGAAGGTTGTAGCTTCTTTCAGAGATGTAGCACATAGAAAATGCCGTGCTGGCTTTGCTAGCTGAGCTGCCAACGCAGGTGTCTGGTACCAGAGTGCTTTGTTTCAAGTACTGCCCAGTGCCTCCCAGATAAAAGAGCACTGGCCTTGGGCAGCTGGCCGTTTGCACAGAACTGCACTGAAGGAAGCCCGGAAGCACCCAGTGCCCTAAAGGGAGGAAGAAATTTTCTGGTAAGCCTGTCCTGAGAATTCTTCGTTGTTTTTCCAGCTCCAAAAGCTTCGTAATTACAACAAGCAAAGAACCTCTCGCTGTGATGCCCTTTATAGCCCTTGCCAGCGCTTAGTTCCCAGGGATTACTGCTTTGTGTGACAGGCTGTTTTGTGTCCTCTTCCCTGCAGATCCTGACAAAAAGCAAAACCTAAATTTAAGCCTGACTAAAAAAACCATGCATTAATTTATATTTATTTTTTTTTTGTCACAAAATAAAGCACTGCACTAAGTTGTTTTTCCTTTTTCCCTCCAGGGTTGTGCAAGGGAAGATGGAGGGCATTCTGCTGCCAGCAGCGTCTTGCAAAACTGTTCCAGAATTAATAGAAGTACAAAAAAACTTACAGCTTGCCAGATCTTCCTGCCAAACACTGCTGTTACCGGCTTTACAGTTATCAGCTACTTCCATCGGCTTCTGCAGTCGGCAAAATTCAAGAGCTGTAGTAACAGCTCTGACTTACCTGATGTGTCTTCAGCTCCAGTTGATGAACCTGTCAGCGAGCTCAGCAGCTTGTCTAGCCTGAGCAGAAACTCCTGTTTTGTTCATTCTAGTGGCAGAGAAAGTTTTTTAGGGTCCTGGCAGCCGTCCTTCAGCCTGACTTCATCTGTTGCTTGGGTAACAGCGGAAGACTTTCCCACTCTGGAGGTGGGAAAGCTGGTGAGTGAACAGCATGAACAAGAGGGGAAGCCTGACTCTGTAGAATTGTGCAATGTAAACCTCAACAATCAAACTCCTTGGGATTCACAGTTCTGCAGCTCTTCTGTGAAGGAAGGGGATAAAGAGGAGGATAATGAATTGAGCTCACAGGCTCGTCAGACCAACAGTGTCTCTGCAACTGATAAATCAGAGAGAGTATCCTCTTTAGAGACTGAGTGTTCACATGGAAACAATTCCACGTTGTTACAGCATCCCTCGGAACTGAGGGGAAAAAGCATTTACCTAAAGACTCTGAGTAGAAATTATTCTTACCCAGAAAAATCCCACAACTGCCTTTTTTACAAGGGAGATGCCTCAGCTTCTAATCATGTAAATGCAGCTGGGGTGTCTCAGATGGACTCTGTGCTTTGGGATGAGCTCCCATTCTCAGAAAGCCTAAATGAATTTTTAGCCAGAATAGAAGATGGTGAGAGTGTTGTAACATCACTCAGCCCTGATGCAGGCAAACAGGCCCTTACTGAAATTAGCAAATTAGGTGTAAATCTGAACAAATCGTATCCCAGGCAAACCCTAGTAGCTGGTGATTTGCCAGAAGGAAGCATCTCAGCAAGCTTCTTGCCACCAGTAGAGAATGACAGTTGGGAGAACACACTGTTTGCTTGTCTTCAGTCGGATGCAAATCCTCCGAGTGGTGACGTGTCACAATATGAGTCTTTCTCTAGTGATCTACCTTCAGCTGACAAGGAAGGGGGAGTGTCTTGCTTTATACCTAACCCTCATCCAACTGCTCTGTCTCAGTCCTCACCAGTTACATCAGAGCCTTCTGTTTCCAAGGGTGTATATGTACGGTCCAAAGAAGCAAATGTTGACATTTCAAAATCATCTTGGTCTTTTATTCCTCTGCAGTGTGCTGCTGGACATGGAGAAACCTCCTGTTTAAAAAGGACCAAGGTGACTACCTGTGTGCAGTCTGTGCACGATAGCTGTTTAACTAGTTGTGAAAACCAAGAAAATTCTACGCCAAGCCAAAGAGTGGATCTTACCTTCATGAGGACATGGGACTCTGATCCAGCAACTCCTAACAATAAAAGAAGGATATATAAAAGAGAATTAAAACCACTGACAGAACTGTCAGAAAACGCATTCAAAATTGTTAATAGGAGAGAGGTGCCGTGGAGTGATAGCTTCCCCGAAGGCAGCTACAACGCTTCTGCTGATCTCTTTGATGTGAGAGAGGTAGCAAAACCTGTAGAATTCTTAAATAAATCGTGTAATTCTTTACTAGAGGAAGATACTTTGACAGAAAAGGTCACACCTCCTGAACTGGTGCTTCATCCTGGAGATACACCCTGTAGAAGTTCAAAACTAAGCTCATCCCTCTTACCCAGGTCCTCTCCTGATTTCAGTCAGCACAGCACACCGGTCGCTTATTCCTTTTGTGAGTCAGGAGGCAATTCAGTTTGCACTCAAGACTTTGTTCCTTATTCACAGTCGACTCCTATGACAAAACCTCTCCAGAAACTGTGGCCTGCTGGGGAAAGAAGCTCTTTCATCACCATCTTCACCCCTAAAAATCCCACTAAAATCCATTCCAAAGGCAAGAGATCCAGGTCTTCCTTTCAAAACACACTGTTGCAGCAGCTCACTGGCAGGTTGGTGAAATGTGAAAGGCCAAGTAACAGGGAAGACAAGGAAAGCAGTAGCTCTCTTTCACAGCAGTTCCTTAACAGCCAACTGCCGGCCGACTCTGAAGAGTGGATCCCTCCATCTGCAAATAAAAAGCTGAAAGCTTCTGCATCTTCAAACTTCAAAGCAGTCAGCCGGGCTACTGACTTGCAATCGACCTGTGGGCACACTAGCAGGAATCCTGTTTGTGAAAGGAAAGAGAGCAGAGAAAATGATACGCATTTCCGAAATGAGAGATTAAAGCCTGGGGATCCAGCCAGGATTATAACAACTCCTGTGTCTGCAGGTGTCACTGAGGCCTGGTTTTTAAATGACACGGTCTTGGAAACTTGTTCTCCTTCAGAAGGCAAGAATCTCCTCTCAAATGCAAATTATTCAGGGAGTGTATTGGAAGGGGCATATGGCTGGTCTCCCGAGTTGTTCTTCCAAACACAGACTCCTTTTTCCAATAAGAAAAAATACTAAAAAGATATTTCTATACTGTGGGGTTTTAAGTTATTTTAAAGGCAACAGCCACTAGAAAACCCCCCAGCTATCGAATAATTAAATTATTTATACACCTATTGGCATATGTCTTCCTAAGATGAGTTATGTTTATTTGCAGATCTTTGTACGGCAGAGATGAGGGAAAACAGAATTTGCTAGTGTATTTTATTTTAAATTAACTCCAGAACGTGCAATAAAAATTTTTGTAAATGTGTATTTAATAGAGCTCACTTTATCACGTACAGGTAGGTGAAGCATTTTAGCTTTCAGTTTTGTCTTCCCATCACAAGAAGAACATCCACATGAGTGAATGTTCATCAGATGAACATCCAGATGAGTCCACATCCCCTCCATATTCTTACCTGATGACTCTGTGGAGAAGGGCCAAGTTTTCATCAAATAATTTCAAATATCCTTTGGGAGCCTCACATCTGAGCCCACCTGGGATCCTATGACAGGGCTGGGTTGGGGCGAGGGGACCGTCCTGAGAGGTTGTCAGCAGCTTCCAGCTTTCCTGTAGGCTTTTTCAAGTTAAAGACTGGCAGGATCCTGATAAGTGTCTTTCCTCTTCCTTGCTTTGGGATGTTCCACATCCTCCACCCAGAACAGCTGCATTTAGGATCATTGAACAGAGAAATCTTGGAGCTGCTGAAAGTTTGTAGGTCAGGTCCTACAGAAGGATTTGGGAACCCAATGGTCAAGCATTGCATCAGCCTGAAAGTGCTGATGTAGAACTGGAAGCAATTGTGCTTTTTTTTTTTTTTGAGATGTAGAATGAGCATTGTGATTCGTGACAAGCACAGTTTACTTGGTTCATTCTCTGCTACAAGATCAACATTTGATGTTCCTATGAGGCCTCACTTAACTTCTAATTCCCCTACTTAAGCCCCAGGCTCAGTGTTTTTTCAGAAGAGTTTTGTGTCTCTGCATGCAAGGAACAAATTGATACTGGTAACTGGCACGCTCACTTTAAGGTTATAAAGATGCCACCTCTGCCTTAGGTAATATGAGAGGCAGAAGTTGCTGGAAGTTAGAAGAGTATTGTGAGAATTAATCATTTTGTGCTTACTTGCTCCTGTATTTCACTTACTCTGTGGTGTTAGTCGCTGTTGGAGTCGGGGCTAGAAGCTGAAAGGCTTCTCTGACTTTATGTAGGTACCTCACCGGGGCACGCACACAAACCAGCGTGTTAAGGCAGGACCTGCCAAAGAGAAATGATGTTTGGGATGGGTGAAAAAACCCCCAGACTTAGGGCATTTGAGCTGTAATCTTTGTTTGTCCCTGCCCATAGAATCACAGAATGGCCTAGGCTGGAAGGGACCTTAGAGATCATTTAATCCAACCTCCCTGTCATGGGCAGGGACGCCTCTCAACTAGATCAGGGAACACGTGGGGACCATGGTGGGGGAGGTTGGAACAGATGATCTTTAAGGTCCCTTCGAACCCTGATAATTCTATGATACCTGTTCTATAAAATAGTTATGGACCTGCTCTTTTATTTTCAAGACGCTCAGGGAAGTACGAGGGAATTTACTCTCACCACCTTGCCTGCTGTTCTCAGAACGGATCACATTTAAAGAATGTGTAGGTAAATCTTTTTAGTTTCATGTTCTCTACCCTAAGTTCTGTATCTTCTAATCAAGTGCATTTCTCATTGAGAGATGGGAGGGAGAAGAGAATTTGAAATCAAACGACCTGCTTCAGCACCTGAGCAGGGCATTGATGAGAGACAGCTTCTCCTGTCAAGGGTACGAGTGTGCTGAGTCTGCAGGCGTTCCTGCAGGCTGGATGAAGAAAGCAGTTCCTCATGGCTGCACAGCAAGTCTGCACAGCAAATTCACTTTACAAAGAAGCCTTTCCACAGTAGTCAGTGATGGGTTTTTGTTTTGTTTTGTTTTTGAAGGGAGGGGGGATGTTTTTCACTACTTACAGCTGAGAAAAACTCAAAGACTTGCCCGATGTTCAAAAAGTTCTGCATATCACTGAAAGACCATAACCAGCAAACCATCTTTTCTCCTCGCTGTCCTACTCAGAAAGATGCTCAAGCACAACCAAAAAGTTCTTCCTGATGTTTAAGGATGCTGCATTGTTACAGCTCCAAGCCTAGATCACTGTAGTCACTGAATGCTAGGCATAAGCAGAACAAAGAGGAACATCAAGTTATAACAAATAAAGGGGCAAAAAGGGCAGAGTTATATACAGTAATTTGATGCCCAAAGTAACTTCAAGCATCGCACCTGTGAGTGGTGGTGTTTGTTCAGTGCTGTGCCAACAGCACCTGCCTAAACCACCACGGACAAGACACGGCAATGCTGTGGGTGAAGGATACTCAGGTCCCTGAGCAGGGCTGCTTGCCAAAGGGCCAGGATGGCAACAGAAGCAGCCGTGCACAGGGAGGGCAGTACTGAGAGTTCTAAGGCATCAGTGCTCAAACAACTAAAACTTGAAACTGGTCGTTTGTACTACAGCTTCCTACAGAGTACAAGACTACAGTATCACCGGTTCTTTAAGCACTCCCTGGTGATGAACTGGACAAACACCCACTTTAACAGGGGCGCTAGACCTGATCCATGTGATACATCAGAGACTTGCTGCAGCTGGCTATGAAACACTGCCAGAACTTCTCCATCACACACCTGATAGCATCTTGACGTGAAGTGTTTTGTCCAGCATGAGTGATTTTATTCAGCAGAGAATTCATCCACATACTATGGTAAGCAATAGCTTCGGTGCAAGCTGATGTGATTATAATTATAAGCTTGTACAAAAAAGAATAAAGCTCAGCATGTTTAATTCTGAAGGTAATAAAGCTCCTGGAAATGCACACTGGGTTTGTGGTTGATTCCCTATGCATAGAAATCCATAAATCAAGACTAGATTTTAAATGAGGTAGGACTGTATGATACTATTGAAATTAATACAGGGCAGTCAGATGTCTTTCGCTTTGTCCAAGAACACTGCCCACAGAGAGAGACCAAAAAGTACTGTTATGTGACAGGCCCCCATCAGCAAGATGACATCTTCTGGGCAGAGCTCCCCAGGTGCTCGGTAAGAAGACTTTGTACACAAGGAAATTGGAGGAGAGGCAAGAAGCTGTCTTGGTTTTGCTCCTGTAGTCTGTCAGCCTGACATTTCTCCCCCTGGGCAGTTTGTTCTCTTTTCAGAGGGACCTTTTGTACTCCTACAATCCTTTTACCAGCAACAAAGCCTGGCACAGGTTGTGCCTGTGCTGCTACACCTGCTGCACAAAAAGGTTGCATGTCCTGCCAGTTGCATGCTCCTTGCAAGGAAGAGCTGCCAGTCTTCACCTGCCCATTACCTTTCCCCAGGAAAAGTGTGGTCTGGCTTCTCCAGCCGTCACCCCCACAGGCAACACACTCCAGCCCTCCTCTCTTTCAGTAAATACTCAATTCCTGAGCTGTCCGGGCTTTAAAGAGGTTTTCCTCCTCTCCCTTTGTTCAGTTCCTACGTGGAAGCACGCAGGGACTTTTCCCCTCTCCACATACCTCTCTCTGTTTTATCACTGACTCAAATTGCCAGCTCCCTGGGCAACACGAGCAGATGGCCCAGCCCTCATGTCAGACAGTTACCAGGGAAGGAGCTTCAAGGTCTTCAAGTGGAAGAGGCAATAAAAGACACATGGCGTCTTCAAGCTTCACAGCTCATTTCCCAGTTTAAGTGTCAGCAGAAGTCATCTTTGATGTGGAGCAGAGTACAGGGGAGGAAACCTGATCCTCATAGCGAGTCAGAGCTCAAACTGTATATACCGACCAAAAGAATAAAGGCTTAAAATGGGAGATCTTTTCTAAAAGGGGTTTAGGCCCCCAGAACAGCAGGTCTTTGGGAAAATCTAGTGGAGTTCTACAAGCATGGAAAGAGCTGGTTGAAGGCTGAAGAACCAGCATTTAGGGAAAAAAAAGGCACTGGGACAGAGAGTAAACAAAACCGAAGCATCCAATCCTCATTGTCATCCAACACAAACCCAGCACCTTGTTAGGGCAAGAGCTCCAGCAGCTGCAGGTTTGCAGTGACCATGAGTGAAGACAGCGCTGTCAAAGACCACCCTCTAGTGACTGACGCCGGCATTTCTTTGGCATGTCAACCTCTCTCGTCTCAAGTATTTTTTTCTTCTGTTCTAGTGCAAAGGGATATCGCTCCCCTGGACAGCAGCTCTTCTTTTTGCTCTTCTCGTGAGGTCCCAATGCTGTGAGAACCTCGGTATGCTCAACCCAAGCAGAAAACCCTCAGTAGCTATTCACTTGTTGGTCTGATACTACATCATATCAAGTGAATCTGTCTTGGACTTATGTTTTATAGCAACTTTCCTTTGCAGTTCAAAACAAAAATCAAACAAACCAAACACTTTAAACACCAGGTGGAAAGGATTAAATGTTTATTTACATACAGATACATACGTAAGCAATTTCTAAGTATAAAAAAAGGACATTACAAATAAACATGAAGAATCATACATTCATCATCCTGGTCATCCAAAATACATTCCTTTCTCAACCCCACTGTACCACACTTGACCACGAGAATTTAAAAAAAAAAAAACAAAAACCACAGACAAGCCAAATGCTTCTGGACAGTCAATGATTCACAGTTTGGCGATTTGCTAACATCTACACCCTTCCCAAAGAACAGCACCACCCCAGCAACTCGAGATCCATGGTCCGACCAGCTGTGGTGCATTTTCTCCACTCAAATGGTTGTGCTTAATCAACATGAAACACATCCTCTCCTCATCCGTCTGGCCATGTGTTTAGGAATCAGGGTTCTTGCTAAAAGTCTGTACATTGTGCTAAATTCACAATCGTTGGGGAAAAGACAGCAGACCTCTTGCAGGAAAAACTGCAACCCAGGAAAATTCTTTTAATGCTGTGACTTCCCTGGCATGGAAGTTGCAAACAAAACGCTGCTTTTAGCAGTTAAGCAGGTGTTTAAACTATAATTCAAACTACAGTTGATGGTAAGAA